CAAACCAGTGGAAAACACGAAGGACACCAAAAGAAAAGATCAGCGTAAACTTTGAACACGGACAGAGAAAACGGGACCAAAAATACACGGCGATAGCAACAAAGAAATGAAAATAAAAGGCTGTGTCTGAACACGGACGGAGGAAACGGGGACAAAAATACACGGCCAACACAACAAACTCCTGGAAATAAAAGAGGTAAACCTGTTATGAAAATGAACCAAAACCAATTATTGTCTTTTGAACAAGCATTGGAGAAGCTGAAATGCAATTCTTCAATCCTGTCCACGTTGAATAAAAGGCTATCAGAGTAGACCATATTTGCAATGTTAGGTTTTTTCATACGAAGCTGAATATATCAAAACAGGTCACGACGTTTCGATTATTTCAATTACCATATCGCGAATTTTCCACTTATGAATAGCAATAATCCTGCATCCCCAACATACGGTGTTTACATGTAACAGTTGATTCAATATTCAAGGGCCTGTTCCCAGTATCACGATTTTTGTGCAAGAAGTCGTCAACTTACGGACAAAAACTCGTAACACAGGATTTCTAAAGATGCAGGTTGATGAAAATGACGGGGAAGATTTACAGTCGCATAGTGATCTCATCGAGAAATATATTTTTGTGGGATATGAAGCTGAAATTGTTTGATGCTCGTTAGTTTGCCTGTTAGTTCCGTTGTTGTATACGTTGTTCTCATCTGAGAGCGTGATATCACTAACTCGAATTACATGGAGGGTATCGTTAATTTATAGCAGCACTTAATGTTCTTTATGAGGAGGCGACTTTTATATAGAAAATAAAAAAATAGATTGAGTTATGGGGCCTCACCATCATGATTATGATATTTCCCTATATAAATTTTGAATTTCTCACAGTCGCCTCCTAGATTTCAAAAGTTAGGTCCTCACCATTACTGACATGCCCTAGAACGACGAAACAGCTGGAACACTATGTCTAAATTTACCGGACTCTACTATGCCTTACTCCAAAGAATGAATTGAAAGATGCTGTTCCCTTTTTTATTTCTTTTTTTGTTTTGTTTTTGTTTGTTGTTTTGTCTCTTGCATGATATTTCTAATAAAACTTGTTTTGGATTTCTCGATGATTTAAGAAATGGACTTGAGTAACAAACATTTAACATCCAATATTTAATTTGTATGAGCATAGCAACAAAATAGTTAGAACGTCATTGATTTGTCTTGTAAATTCTACAAATAACTAAAGACGATTTGATATCATAATTTTTTTAAAAATGAGGATTTTATCTCCGAAACATCTTTATTCTGAAGTCCCGTTGAGTGACTCTATTCACAGTTCTTTTAGTCATTGTTCTGTTTATTTATCAAATAATGTTTACAAAACAACGTCTAGATTGTTCTTTATCAATTTTGATCTCGAAGAAACATATCGCATATTAATATCGCGCTATTATCAACTTATATGATAAGATAATAACGATATATTAGTACATAGACGTAAATAACAATAAACACTAAACTGGTTCACAGTACATGATAAATATGATTCTTAAGTTGTAAAATAAAACATTTCATGTATTCAGTTTATATAACCTAACGTCGAATCGATGTTCTAAGATCTCACCAATCCGTTGTCTCTATTCTTTCAGGATCAGCCGAGTATCTTAATTTAAGTTTTTCAACATCTGTACTTTACGGACCTCCTCGTCTTCGATCGTCTTTGAACGGATTTTTTTTAACCAGATCGTTCTCACCGAGGTCTGCCAGGTCAAGTTTCACTTTTCTATATTACAATATTTCATGATATGATGCTACTTTCTCTACATACCTGAAGTATGTAGAAACTAGAAACATTGTCTAGCCTCTCATCCAGAGCGCAGTGTTGTTTGAGCCCCTTGTACTGTAGTCTTGGAAAATATAGCTGATGGACGAAAGATTGATTTATACAACATGGGTCTCATCCACACCACGTGCCGTCCCAACTCTGTGGGGATCACTCCGGGATGAAGCGTATTTGTCGTCACACCAGTGCCTGTACAGGTAAGTACGGAAAAAGCCTAGCTTAATTAGTATCTAACATGCTACCAAACATGCAACATTTATTTACATAACCTAGCTCGAGCGATCCATTTGATAACCTTACCAAACACTTTGTGTTGCTGAGTTTTGTTTTCTTGAGTAACGACGTGTATCCATCTATATAGCTTGTACATCGAAATTAAGTTTTATCATTTTAACAAGAGTGCAAATATTAAGTTATTTAGAAATTAGATAATTAAATGCTTGCAGAATAAATAATGATCAATGATTACCGTGTAGACGTTCGCTGAGTTCCTTTGTGAAGAGCACATTAGCAAGTTTACTCTGAACACATGCAGCCAGAATAGTCTTTTTCACTATTGATATCATCAAAGCTGATTTTACCTCCTTGTGAACGAAAATAAAATAAATCACAATAAAATGTGTTATAAATGCGCATTCCACCCATACAATAATGATTGGAGAGACTTTGATATAAATATTGGGTTTGTTTTTTTAACCAATTGATACAAGTGTTGTATGGTTTTATGAACATAGCTAAGCTACTGAGTGACATGTTTTCCAAATATCTATACTACAGTCTATAAATTCAACCAGCATTGAAGGGTTGTAATGTTATCAAATACGCGTATTTGGGTAATTCGAAAATTATTTGAAATCGGACATTTTCCACCCCTGAAAGATCCAGCGTTGATGAGATTAATAAGGTAAAGATTGATTACAAAAGTCTGAACAAAAAAATAACAAAAAAAACTGCGAATATGAACCACATTAATGAAGTGCAATGTAGATGAAATATTGATGATTCTACAGGGAGAATATTTCTTAATTAGCTCCAATAGTAGATTTGTCAACAGGAAATGCGAGATGATTCACCACAAATTGCATCTCGTATCCATCTTCGGACTTCCATTTGGGACACATCACGATACCTACGAAAGGGACATGCCCTTATTACGTAGCAGATTATCTTTATAGTGTTTTGATATTTCATTATTTCAGGAAAAAACAAATGGAGAAGTTTTAATCAGAGTTTCAATTACAAATGGAAACATCACAGTATCGTTTGAATATACAATAAGATCTATCGTCATAAAACCGACACGGTAGGTCGTTAACGTTTTCTGGCCTAACGGCCATACAGACATGTTAAAAGGAACAAATCCTCGATACCTCATGGGTTACGATCACTTTAGCTCTCTATACCTCTGGAGCATGTCATGGCAAAATTGAAGTAATTTGATCGGTTCTAGAAGAAAAAATCGTCAATATCTGAATCATCGAAGTTTTACGGTTATGTATATGTTATGTTGTGTATATTCTAATATGATCTAGATTTTGTTTTATCAGAAACCATTAACTCTGAAATTGCATTTTTTTTCACTTTTAATATGATATATAAGACAACATGGATACAAGATCTATAAATGATATCAACCTATTTACATATTTAACGCGGTAAGTTGGTCACATTATCTTTTCATGCATCAAAAAGAATATTACATTTTAGAGATTGTAAACAAACACACAAGTGAATAGCACATTGTAATAATTTAGCTTTAGCTACAGTAGCGCCAAACAATGAAGTAAAATGCATCATACGACTGTTCCGTCCTTCTAGGACTCGTTAGTCATTCTAAGGGCCTAAGTCTTGAAGCCTAGTAGGCGACTGATGAAAATCCGAAGAGATCGAAAAAGTCCAAATTTAGACGGGGAGGTGAAACAGTCTCTAAATAAAATCAATTTCGTATCATTCATATGTCAGCTGTCTATATTCTGAACCGTGCCATTATTCGATATTATTCTGCTCACTCGGAACCCATTCAATGCTATAACTATACAAACAATATAAAACAACAGGTCCAATGGGCCTGTAGCGCTCCACAAGTCAAATAGCATGCCTCTTGGCCTTTTAGTTCATGAGAAGTCGTTTAAATATTTGAACAAATTTGACTCTTGTGACCTTAAATAGAAGCCAACGTCATTTTTTTCCAAACTTTGTTGGCCTTCATCCTAGGAATATACAAACCATATATCAAAACTTTCGATCAATTGGTTATTGAGAAGGAGTTATTTAAAGAAAAAAAACGTTAACGCCGAACACCGGACGACGGACGGCCGACGCAGGATCCAATTTCACGATATCAGACGAGATGCTGATAAGAAAGGAAAACAGATTTCCTAACAGAACTGTTCAGCTTCTTGTGTGAATCTTTTTGCAATGTTAGGTAATTTCCATTGCGACTTTCGTAAGTGTCACACAATCCTTATTTTCACTTTAGTAGATATGGGAACAATACACTATAAACGTGAGTGCTGTCGCAATGCATTAAGCAGCAAAACAAGATTTTAAGACGGAGACCTTTGTCATGTGTCAATCTTAATTTTAATACGAAATGTGATAAATCGTAACAAAACAATATAACACTAATACTGAATAAATTATATACATGTATTTAATAAACCAGTACAGAACGCAAAAAAGGGGCGTCTCATGAGACTACCTTATAGAATCGACGTCAGTTTCCAATAAAAAGCCCTGTACCTATCAAGTATATTCAGTTCTATCTAATATCGGCCCAGTATGATAAATTTTATCAAATGTTTCTCCTCCTTCCTATAAATGGTTCCTAGTATGACATGTACGATTCAAAATATACACAATAAATGTCCTTGGCGTTCTTTTGAAATCGTTATTGAAAAAATTCAGTAAAATATACACGTAAAGGGACTAGCACACTTGATTGATTTAGAATCAATATATAAGAGCAATGAATTTATCATCATACAACAGATTCGTCTCTCTAGGATTAGTTCATGATTCTATTTTTACCTTGACATCCATCTGCGTTTTGACTTCAATTTCTATCCATTTGGATTTTCCTTGGTAACCTCCTAGGTTCAAACATTAGGGCCATTCAAATCACTGCGTCTTTGAAGGACGAAACATTTGTTTGAAGTAGTATAATTTATCATTTGGCTCTACAGTATCTACAATTCTTAATTGTTTTATCGCTGCTATTCACCAGTGTGTCTTTTGCACACTTTTGTAGACAGTCGCTGTATAGCTAGAAGTTCTACATTGTAAATTTATTATTGTGAATGTTAATCCACAGTAGAAAAAATCCTGCACTCCGGTACAGAAATACATTACAAAAACGGAACGTTCTGTAATATACGAACATGTGGAAATACACAAAATATTCTAAGTGTTTAGATATATCATTCATGTTGATTTCATGACTCAGATTATCACTCCATCCTATCTGCGTGCTCCAGCAACCATTTCCTCTGAGATCTGCCAAAGCCGTTTCGCATCCTCCATATTCAATGCATCCTTTGATGGTTGTTGTTCTTTGCAGTCACTAATGTAAACAAAACAAACGAATCCAAAGAAAGTTACTATCCACAAAGAATGTATCACTTTGCAAGAAATGGACTCACTGAAAATTACGTTTTCATCTTTGTAATATAGTTTAAAATGTACAATTGTTTCATCTGCTATCTTTATTGAGAATATAAGTGTCTTTATTACGATTATGTTAGGCTTCTTTCTATTCTATTTATTATTTATTTAGTTATCGGTTGGTTTTGTTTTCTTTTTCCGATTAAAGAGTTTAAATCATTAGTGCAGTTTAGAATAATTTTAACTCGGTTGTAGAATTTGTGGGAAAATCCAGTGTATGGATAGCACATACAGATCTCACTTTCCTAATAATAAACATGATATAAGATTGAGAAAATTTGAATTTCTTGTCTTTAGACCCAATTTTATTTGTCAGATAACAGTGTTATTGTTATCAAAACAAGGTAGACACTGAGTTATTACTATACATACCTGAAGTATTTACCAGAAACATGCTCCAGCTGTTCGTCTAAAGCGCAGTGCAGAGTTGTCTGGGCACCTTGTACTGGAGTCTTTAGGAAAATTGTAAATGGGCGAAGTAACGTAAACAGGACGGAAGGAACCCTAGCCTCCACATGTCTCACCAGCTCTGTCTCAATTACTCCGGGATGGAGCGTGTTTACCGTCACATCGCTACCTGCACGTGTAATTGGGTGATACCTATTTTTTTCAAATTTGTCATTTATTCTTAAAATCTCGAAATTAACAATGCTAAGTAGTTTTATCTTGCAAAGTCGAATGTTTTGCTAGATTTTGTTTAAACTTTTTTATTTCTTATTTTTTCGGGACTAGCCAATCTTTCACACCAATTCCAAATGGACATTATTCCAATTTGGTTTGAAAGATTTTTGCTACTTCTAGACGTCTGGAGTGAAACAGCTTTTTAATAGGGGATATTCTTTGTCGAAACAAGCTTTTAGCTTTTATTTTGTTTTATGCGAAATAGCTTTTACCATACTAATATTGTTCCAGTGCATGATTACCTTGTAGACGTTGGCTGAGTTCCCTTGTGAAGAGCACATTAGCTAGTTTACTCTGAGCATACGCAGCCATTGGAGAGTAGCTTTTTTCACTATTGATATCATCAAAGTGGATTTTTCCTCCTAAAAAGAAATCATTGATGTTTTTGGTACTTGATGCAGACCTTAATTTAATCAGTTATATATTTCTAACATTTTATCAAAATATCTCATGCAGTCAAAACTTTAATCAATTAAGTAATTTCCTATATGTAAAAGTGTTTCAATTTCCTTTTAGTTTTTTTTAAGATTAACGGTTTGAGAATAAAAAAAGCAAAATGCAAATTACTGTAATGTATTAGTGCAGAAACGTTGATGATCCGAGAAGGAGCAGATGTCTTTATTTTGTCTAGTAACAGATTTGTCAACAGGAAATGGCCAAGGTGGTTTGTCGCAAACTGCATCTCGTATCCATCTTCGGACTTCAATTTAGGACACATCATCACACCTAACGAAAGGCAATCACGATAAACAGTAACATGTGTCACATTGTTGCTAAATGTTGTGAAGATGACAAAGATTTGGATCGAATAATACTTGTAAATCAACCTTGAAATCACTTGCTTTATTGTATTTACATAATACCTAATTTCAACAGATTTCAAGCTAACATAATTAAAAAAAAACATTTGAAATTTCTGTAATTAAATTCCAGGGGTGCAGAGAGCGAAAGTGATGGTAACCCTCGGTGTATCGAGGATGGTCCCAGAAGTGCATAGAGCGAAAGTGATGGTAACCCCCGGTGTATCGAGGATGGTTCCAAGGGTGCAGAGAGCGAATGTGATGGTAACCCCCGGTGTATCGAGGATGGTCCCAGAAGTGCAGAGAGCGAAAGTGATGGTAACCCTCGGTGTATCGAGGATGGTCCCAGAAGTGCAGAGAGCGAAAGTGATGGTAACCCCTGGTGTATCGAGGATGGTTCCAAGGGTGCAGAGAGCGAAAGTGATGGTAACCCCCGGTGTATCGAGGATGGTCCCAGAAGTGCAGAGAGCGAAAGTGATGGTAACCCCTGGTGTATCGAGGATGGTTCCAAGGGTGCAGAGAGCGAAAGTGATTGTAACCCCTGGTGTATCGAGGATGGTTCCAGGGGTGAAGAGAGTGAAGGTGATGGTAACCCCTGGAGTATCATCCTATGGTTTTGTCTGTGTGTTCATAATCGACTTCACATGCAATCCATTCACATTTGAACACTTATAATCTTACCAGCATTGTTGATGAGAATATTAATTCTTTCTTCATTCTTTAAGATGACATCTGCGAATTTCCTCACAGAGTCTAAAGAGGCGAGGTCCAGACGCTCTACACTCACGTCACTGTTTCCTGAGAACATTTTGACGATATCTGCTGCTTTAGTAGCCCGCCCTATATCACGACATGCCATGATCACCCGGGCTCCTGAAATAGTTTCTCATTTTTAATACTTTTATCCCAAACTTGACATATGCCATGCTTGAGGCTCAACCTTAAAAACCTTTGTAACTTACTTTTATGAAGTTGGTCATTTATCTGCATAAAAACCTTTCAAGGTCAGCGATACAATTGTCATGACCGCGATCTTATGTTTATTCGGCAAATCTTCTACCATAAAGCAATGATACGTTTGTTACAAACATATAATACTGAAGATCATATAGCTAAAAACAGAATGAGTACCTTCAGCAGACAATTTCCTGGTCTTGCAAAGATTTACAAGACATTTACAGGGAGTTTATAAGTCTTTTCGAGGGTGTTTATAAAGCATTTCCAGGTAGTTTACAATGCATTTCCAAGGTGTTTACAAAGCATTTACAGGGTGATTACAAAGCATTTACAGGGTGTTTACATAGCATTTATAGGGTGTTTACAAAGCATTTACAGGGTGTTTATATAGCATTTACAGGGTGTATACATAGCCTTTACAAGGTGTTTACAAAGCATGTACCGGGTGTTTACAAAGCCTTTGCAAGGTGTTTACAAAGCATTTACCGGGTGTTTACAAAGCATTTATAGGGTGTTTACAAAGCATTTACAGGGTGATTACAAAGCATTTACAGGGTGTTTACATAGCATTTACAGGGTGTTAACAAAGCCTTTACAAGGTGTTTACAAAGCATTTACCGGTTGTTTACAAAGCATTTATAGGGTGTTTACAAAGCATTTACAGGGTGATTACAAAGCATTTACAGGGTGTTTACAAAGCATTTACAGGGTGATTACAAAGCATTTATATGGTGTTTACAAAGCATTTATAGGGTGTTTACATAGCATTTACATGGTGTTTACAAAGCCTTTACAGGGTGTTTACATAGCATTTACAGGGTGTTAACAAAGCCTTTACAGGGTGTTTACATAGCATTAACACGGTGTTAACATAGCATTTACAGGGTGTTTACAAAGCATTTATAGGGTGTTTACAAAGCATTTATAAGGTGTTTACAAAGCATTTACAGGGTGTTAACAAAGCCTTTACAGGGTGTTTACATAGCATTTACAGAGTGTTAACAAAGCCTTTACAGGGTGTTTATATAGCATTTACAGGGTGTTAACAAAGCATGTATAAGGTGTTTACAAAGCATTTATAAGGTGTTTACATAGCATTTATAGGGTGTTTACAAAGCATTTACAGGGTGTTTACATAGCATTTACAGGGTGTTAACAAAGCCTTTACAAGGTGTTTACAAAGCATTTACCGGTTGTTTACAAAGCATTTATAGGGTGTTTACAAAGCATTTACAGGGTGATTACAAAGCATTTACAGGGTGTTTACAAAGCATTTACAGGGTGATTACAAAGCATTTATATGGTGTTTACAAAGCATTTATAGGGTGTTTACATAGCATTTACATGGTGTTTACAAAGCCTTTACAGGGTGTTTATATAGCATTTACAGGGTGTTAACAAAGCATGTATAAGGTGTTTACAAAGCATTTATAAGGTGTTTACATAGCATTTATAGGGTGTTTACAAAGCATTTACAGGGTGTTTACATAGCATTTACAGGGTGTTAACAAAGCCTTTACAAGGTGTTTACAAAGCATTTACCGGTTGTTTACAAAGCATTTATAGGGTGTTTACAAAGCATTTACAGGGTGATTACAAAGCATTTACAGGGTGTTTACAAAGCATTTACAGGGTGATTACAAAGCATTTATATGGTGTTTACAAAGCATTTATAGGGTGTTTACATAGCATTTACATGGTGTTTACAAAGCCTTTACAGGGTGTTTACATAGCATTTACAGGGTGTTAACAAAGCCTTTACAGGGTGTTTACATAGCATTAACACGGTGTTAACATAGCATTTACAGGGTGTTTACAAAGCATTTATAGGGTGTTTACAAAGCATTTATAAGGTGTTTACAAAGCATTTACAGGGTGTTAACAAAGCCTTTACAGGGTGTTTACATAGCATTTACAGAGTGTTAACAAAGCCTTTACAGGGTGTTTATATAGCATTTACAGGGTGTTAACAAAGCATGTATAAGGTGTTTACAAAGCATTTATAAGGTGTTTACATAGCATTTATAGGGTGTTTACAAAGCATTTACAGGGTGTTTACAAAGCATTTATAGGGTGTGTTAAGGGGATTATGATACAGAATACATTAAGGTCTTAATTCTAGCATATCAACATCGATAGTAACAAAACGCCTATCTATAGCACACTGCTTCGTTAGTGGTGACAGTCCCTATGTGGCCAAGTACTGGTAAAGATCTTACCTCTAGCAGACAATCCCTGTGTGGCTGTGTACTGATAAAGATCTTACCTCTAGCAGACAATCCCTGTGTGGCTGTGTAGGTATAAAGATCTTACCTCTAGCAGACAATCCCTGCGTGGCTGTGTATGTATAAAGATCTTGCCTCTAGCAGACAATCCCTGTGTGGCTGTGTACTGATAAAGAGCTTACCTCTAGCAGACAATCTCTGTGTGGCTGAGTACCGATAAAGGGCTTACCTCTAGCAGACAATCCCTGTGTGGCTGTGTAGGTATAAAGATCTTACCTCTAGCAGACAATCCCTGCGTGGCTGTGTATGTATAAAGATCTTGCCTCTAGCAGACAATCCCTGTGTGGCTGTGTACTGATAAAGAGCTTACCTCTAGCAGACAATCTCTGTGTGGCTGAGTACTGATAAAGAGCTTACCTCTAGCAGACAATCCCTGTGTGGCTGTGTATGTATAAAGAGCTTACCTCTAGCAGACAATCCCTGTGTGGCTGTGTATGTATAAAGATCTTACCTCTAGCAGACAATCCCTGTGTGGCTGTGTATGTATAAAGATCTTACCTCTAGCAGACAATCCCTGTGTGGCTGTGTATGTATAAAGATCTTACCTCTAGCAGACAATCCCTGTGTGGCTGTGTACTGATAAAGAGCTTACCTCTAGCAGACAATCCCTGTGTGGCCGAGTATGTATAAAGATCTTACCTCTAGCAGACAATCCCTGTGTGGCTGTGTACTGATAAAGAGCTTACCTCTAGCAGACAATCCCTGTGTGGCTGTGTATGTATAAAGAGCTTACCTCTAGCAGACAATCCCTGTGTGGCTGTGTATGTATAAAGATCTTACCTCTAGCAGACAATCCCTGTGTGGCTGTGTATGTATAAAGATCTTACCTCTAGCAGACAATCCCTGTGTGGCTGTGTACTGATAAAGAGCTTACCTCTAGCAGACAATCCCTGTGTGGCTGTGTATGTATAAAGAGCTTACCTCTAGCAGACAATCCCTGTGTGGCTGTGTATGTATAAAGATCTTACCTCTAGCAGACAATCCCTGTGTGGCTGTGTATGTATAAAGATCTTACCTCTAGCAGACAATCCCTGTGTGGCTGTGTATGTATAAAGATCTTACCTCTAGCAGACAATCCCTGTGTGGCTGTGTATGTATAAAGATCTTACCTCTAGCAGACAATTCCTGTGTGGCTGAATATGTATAAAGATCTTACCTCTAGCAGACAATCCCTGTGTGGCTGTGTACTGATAAAGAGCTTACCTCTAGCAGACAATTCCTGTGTGGCTGAGTAAGTATAAAGATCTTACCTCTAGCAGACAATTCCTTGGCCGTCTCCAGACTGATACCAGTGTTACATCCGGTAATGATGACAGTCTTTCCATCCAGACGTTTCTTGGAGACGCATACACCACCAGCCAAGTAACGTCGCAGTAGAATGACGCTGATGACTGAGGACCAAGGTAGCACATAGATCAAACAATCCATTTATATATGAATATACAATAAATTAAACATCGATTGATATTACTGTTAAAATAGATCATTTCAGACATAAAGGGAATTCAGGAGCGTCGATATATTAAGATTAATTAAACGAGTTCAATAATTTGACATGTTACGAGCATTCCAGCAAGTGACATATACAATTATATAACAAACTGATAAATTACATATATAACGTTCTGTTTGTCACATTGCCCGCACTTCCGGGAAATAATCGAAAGCTTACAGATCAGTTTCCCTATAGAACAATTGTATATATTTATTTCAACGCGGACGGTACGTTTTTTTTTCAGTATCGAGACCATTATAAGATGTTATCAAAATGTGACTTATCTATGACGTCACAGTAGTGTCATTATACGTGTGTCTTACGATATTTATAACATAGCCGCGTGACATTAACACGACAAATCAATGTGTTAAAATTTTAGTTCGTAAGGGTTCATAACTGCACATATTTTATGTTAAACATCCAGAACTTAGTATATAATTTATTTTGCTCGTTTTACAGTTTCGTTTCCAGGTATACCCATATGGTCATCGAAAGGCACACAGCAATGTTCTATATTTGTTTCCAAATATGTTAAAATTGAACTCTGTCGATGACTCATGTTTTCTATCGTCGATATTCATACAAATTTTACTGACATAATAACACTTATAATGACGTTTTTCTCTGCTTATTTGCACCTCCCAATTTTATCAATTAGTCTGTTGCCGAGGTCACCAATCAGAGTGCAGCGGCAAAATTTTTACTCCGATCGATTAGCAATCCTGCGGATTCAACTTGGCGAAATATAAATCGAGCCAACCCATGTGTAGGCAATCATGCATGCAGAGGTTACGCTCAGAGTCCAGTTGGGTTTAATTCTAGTGTTTGATTCTTGTGCCATAGTGTTTAAATAATAACCGAGCAAGCTTACCTGATCCGACAACTGTCGAAATCAACACTTTGTGATCTGCAATTAAATCAATTGCCTCAACTATACCTGCCGATTCCATTTAATACCAAAAATTACAGATCCGTTTTTAACTTGTACCTTCAACTTCCTTTTAGCTGTAGAGGGGTCGTCTCGAAACACATCGCGTAGCGGTGTGCTTGATTGAGAATCGTCCCTCGATTAGCAGATTAACGGCCTAAACATTAAATATGCATTTTTGATATAAACTGTGACATGAAAACAGAACACATAGAGTGTAAAATTGTTCTTATAGAACGAAGTTTTTTTTTTGTCTCAAAAATCTCATTCTCACTTCAGAAAAATATTCCGTTAAAAACAGATATCCACAACGAATTTCTTATCGAATGCTCGTCACCGAAGAACACTTTGTTAAACTGTAGTAGATAGTGCTATATATCTCAACATCGGTAGGAATTTCTCTGTACTTTAAACGTCGAGTAATACATTAGGTCATCTTTAAAAACTCGTTAGACCACTCCAGACAAACCAACCACAAATTCCACTCATCCTTCAGGCTGTTGTCAGTAAATCCTCGTTAAAGTTCATGGTATGCTTGTTTGATGTCGTCTTTCAAGAAATGCTTTCTTATCAATAATGAATTGTAAGTACGTCATTAGATTTTACTCCTGAAATGGAAGTGAAATATTTATAAAATTTGTTTGAACCCATAATATCTGTAGGAAAACAAGTGTTTATAAGATACGAATGCCCCCGTTCCAGACTGTTTGCATAAGTTGTTCATTGTGACCTTTGACTCTTCAACAGTGACCGATGACCTCCTTGATATGATGAATTGTAGAACTTGATATTATGATACCAAAGGGTGGTTATCAACCAAATTATATATATTGAGAGATTTTAAGAAATTACATTGATCCAGAACGAGACACGACGGGTGACGGTGACGGAACGGAGCGGACGGACGGACATAAGTAACACACTATATCCTGCCTTCCTAAATATAACACATCAGCGGCATAAAAATACCAGAAAAGTTAACACTCCTAACTATGACAGTGGTTGTTTTAATGAAAAACCAAAAACATCCAGCACAAATTGCCATGTGATCAAACAAACTTGTGGATATTTAATTGTCTAACTTCAAACTCAATATTAATCAAGGTCAATTGATTCCATAAGACAGACGCGTTTTTCCCTGACTCGACGTCAAACGAAACACAAATTAAGCCACGTTATATGAGGTTGCTAAATGAAAATCTGCTAGCGACAGATTGTTTTCACATATGACCGTTCATTGGTGAGATGCAACCATTCGTCTGATTGGATAACCCTTCATGAGGAGGAGTCTGACGGCTACATCTTCCGAAGTACACTTCCGGCATATATCAGCTATAGTTCCGGTTTCCGCCGTTGGGAATAAGTTTACAAGTCTAGACACGGCCTCGGTAAACTCTCGCTGAACAACACATTCCTTAACCTTCCGTATTTTCTCATTAAATTTTTCCTCAAGTTCCTCAAATTGTCGTTTCTGTCGCTCTTTCTCCATGTTGGCTTGTTCGGTGACTCGCAATAATCTACCCATACGATAAGCGTCGATATGAGTATTATCAAGTTTCTTCTTCGTCAAAATGGAAATCATGACCAAAATAGCGAGACCTACTACAGAAATCACAATGTAATACCAGTAATTTGTTAACCAAGTTTTGATATCCTCTAAACTATCATCGTTAAACATTTTTCCAAGTCGTTTTATGACATCGTTAGGGTTATTAAGGATACATTGGTGATCTTTGTTACAAACGCCGGTATTGCTGTAGCATGTTTCACCAGCATCTTTGAAAAGGATCTCACCGGAAGTCCCTAGAAGACCAAAATTATGTGCGGGATGGCATTTTGTAGAGTTGTTGGAACGACAACACAGCATACACATGCTTTCGTCATCTTCAGTACAATGACATGCGAACATGCCTCTCGACTCGCATATACTTCTAACACATGAACCATCCTTGCACGTTTTCTTTCCATCGTCACAGGTAGCGCCATCTAGTGAAAACGACACGTCGGGACAATCTTCGCTGGTTCCATCGCAGAACGACTCTTCTTTACACTGAGATGCCTCAGAACATTTGTGCCTTTTAGCTGCTGGAATATAGGTGCAATTCTTATTGCAACATGGAGAGAGTGTCCAAGAGCAAATTCTACCCTGATCTCTCCGCAAAGTGCACGGCCTATCGACTTCATTTGTGACATCAGAAGGGACGCAGCACAAATCACTATAGAAAGCACATATTCTGGAACTGCCGCAATCACACTCTTCCCCTGCCTCTACCATACCGTTGCCACAAACTGGTCCAACTTCAGTTCGCAGACAGGTACCCTTGTTTACAATGACCGGATAGATTTGACTTAAACTACAACTTGAAAACTGATTGTTATTTGGTTTGGAACCATCAGCTGCATAAGGATACATTATATAGTTCCCCATCTGGTTCCCTGGTGCACAAATCAAGTTCGTCGCATCGTCATGATTGCTACCGAAACTATGTCCAAATTCATGCGCTAGCGTCAGGGCTGCTCGGTAGCTCGGTACTCTACTTCCGTAACTTAACATGGTTACAAGAGCTGTATTAAAGTTGAATATTTCCCCAGACAAACTAATTCGTGTCTGACATATTCCACCAGGAGGTCCAAAGACATCAGAATTTCCAATCCACGCGAGGCCAACAATTCCGTCTTCAAAGTCGCGGAACGTGAACGCTACGCCGAGGCAGAAATCGTCGAAATTATATTTAGAAAATTGGTTGAGGTATTCATAGACGTCAGTGTTTTCAGCCATTCTGTAATCTTTCTCCGTTTCGTTAGTGTATATTGTGATTGCTGTGATAGTAAAACCCACATTGTCGCCTTTACTATCTCCGTCAAAGTCAGTACTTCTGAAAATATGATCTGCACTTCCCACAAGGTACAGTATTTCAGCGATAGTTTGAAAACGCGAGGACTGGCCCACGTTGATAAAGAATGTATGATCAACGACTACATGGAGTGAACATGAATACGAGAAAATCGCTGATCGTTTTGCTCTGGAACTTTTGTTTCGAGCACTGGTCAAAACCCTCGGCGCTTGAATTTCTGTGCTGTTCATAGTTTGACAATGTTTCTTTTGTTTAAATTGAACAGAATCTTTTTGGTCCACCAAATCCACTTTCTTATAAATGATACATATTTCATAAGAACTGTTTTCTATCAGGATATCCGAGATATACTTAGACATAGGTTCTATATAAAACACTTCGCCTTCAATCTGTACAATACCGTCAAATGACCCTCCGTGTATTTTTCCAAATACGTACGAGCTTTTTACTCCCTCGACTCTCCCAGATAACACTGAAGCTATTCCCATAGCTGAGAGCTGACTGCCAAACCACACCGACCCTCCCATAGTTACAGTCAAAACAGGCGACAAGACACTTCTGTCTCGATTCAGAATCAAAGTAAAATTCTTCTCGTATGCAGTGAATCTGATTATCTTATCGGCATAAGTATGGTCCGTTTTAGTTGACGATGGCTTGTGGTCTGAAATATTCAGCACAACAGTTTTGTAGTCTTTTACGAAAGCTCGAATATTCTCGTCTGTTCTCTCATTGTTCATTTCCTTTCCATGAGAAACAGTTTGTTTCCACAAAAATGCGGAGTTAGATTTGTACTCGTTATGAAAGCAATCGACATTTGATATATCATTTATAAACGCTAATGATACAGTGAAGATGAGAAGATATGAAAACATGTTAAAAGTTCAATCGGAATGTATGTGCTACCGATGCTGCAGTGGAATGCGTATCACCTCCTGCCTCTTCATAATTTCCCGGAACGTTCACTATACCGCAATGCATGCCGGGAGGGAAAATAAACAGAAAAACTTAAAATAAAAAAATCATTCCGGACCAGACCGAAAAAAAAAAAAAAAAAATCCTGACCAGTTTTGAAAGAAATTTGAAATTACTGACTGACTAAGACATTGCTTCATTGTTGTAAAAATTACATTTTGGTTCATCTTATCGTGCTCTCTGTTGCTGTTATTGGTAATTTACTTCTTTTTAAGATTTTCTCCCGGAAAAAATTCAATATCTATGCCCAAATAGTTGGGAAGTAAGCCTTTTTAGGTCTGAAAATCCGTACAAAATAATTGATTAAGTACATAAGATACTCAAATGAGCGTTTTCTTCAACAAATCATGGACGACTGCTTTAAGATCCGGATCACTGGTCCCGTGTCCTACTTGCTTGTTACAACAAATGTTTTATATCCTGTTTTCGAAATCGACGACTTCTGAATGAAAATGAACAGCAATATTTGTATCATAGATCATTTATTTGGGAATAACTGTACTTATTTCCTTGTCCAGGATGGAAACATTACGTTTCGTAATTTATCTAAATCGTTCTGTTCTTCTAAACCGGTAATTTAAATATCTTATTTGGTGTAAATTCTGATAGAGTAGCTGAGCGCAGGTACCGATGCTTAGCTGAAGCTACTTGTTTAGCATGTCACATCAATATACATATCTATAATGAGCAGATTTACCGACTAGGTTATCACGTCTACACTGAGTATATCTGTAATGAATAACAGGATTGCTCACCCCAGTCGATTTTAGTATCAAAATATGTCGCACACGTGTCCACCAATCCAAGAAAGCGAACCCTGCAGGCTGTTCAGTGACACGATAAATATCTCAGTAGTACAGCATTGAATGTTCTCTGATTCGGGATATGTTTCATGATTTTGGTGACACATTTTATTCCTTCTCGTAGTTTTTTTTGAGTTATGTATATCTTGCTGATGAAATGTTTAGCTAGATACATATATGTGAAGACTGTTGCCAATTTTCCATGCTTAACTCACACATGTACGTTATTTTATTGAACAATAATATCAGAAATAATTAACAATATACACATTTGTTTTCAGGACTTTCCAGAAGATGATGTTTATTTGACAAGTAATGGAAAAGTGATCCATTTTGATGATATTCTACAATCTGGTAGAGTGTACCATGTCATCCCAAGGCTACTGGGGGGCAAAGGAGGTATTCTATATCACACAGCTACAGTATATATCACTGAGAATGTTAAAATGCTAGACTGGAAACATGGTTTAAAACTTTTTATTTTGAGTAAATGGAAGTGGTCTACCAGTTATGTGAACTTAGATACAATATGTTGTGCCATATTTATTTCTCATCATAAAACTAGATTTTTAAAGTTTTATCTGATAAAAGATTTTTAGTGAATGATTTTGCTTAATTTTTATCAGAATTTTAAGTATTCTTTTAAATCTAATTTAGAATATTTCAGGGCTCTCAATCTGCCAGATTTGGGGCCGAATCCCAATGCAAAATAGTATCTTTTTTACCCAATTTAGACCCCAAGTTTTCCCAATTCTAAGGAAAACACCATTATTTTTCCCAATTCTAAGGGCCCCAGGCCCCAGTCCCAAAATGGGATGTGAGAGCCCTGTATTATATCATTATAACTGATGTAAAGATGTGTATTATTAAATTTATCTTTTCACAGGGTTTGGTTCCATGCTGCGTGCCATTGGAGCCCAGATTGAGAAAACCACCAACCACGAAGCATGTCGAGACTTGAGTGGAAGGCGTATGAGAGATGTTAATAACGAAAAACAGTAAGGGAAAAAATCACTGACAAAAACTGGCAGAAATGAATTGTATCACACTGATATGTAACATGTCTCTTTGGTGATATATGATTTTGTACAATTCATGTGTATACTTATGAAATCATGTGATGAAGAAGCTCATGTGATCTAGTTGATTGCATCACTTGGTATTGAAAATATTTGCAGTTCTCAATATATGTAACAGAAGTTTCTGAACCATAATGTTTTTAAATCATGTTTTGAACTTCACAAACAATATCACATATAGTTAATTAAAATACTCATATTGGTACAGTGTTTTTATGATTTTCTTGATCTAAGGTTAAAGGAATGGATTGGAAAGAAAGCTCAAAAGGAGAAGGAAGAGGAAGAAAAAAGACAGGAGAGACTGGCCAAAAGACGAGCTATGCCGAATCATAAATTTGATGATCCACAGTACGATCAACAAAAAAATCTGGTTGCTGAAAATTTAGAGAATGCTCTGCAAAAAGGTAAAACTTTAGTCGTTTTTGGTGAAATTGTGATAATTGAGAAAACAGAATACATGTTAACAGTGGTTCTGATGTATTTTAAGTCATTGGAATTATATTATATGTTGATACATTTTCATTACCTCTGAGGTCACACTCACTATCACACTCTGCACCCCTGAAACATTTCACCACGAAGTTGAATGCACAAGAGAAGTAATTTGATTGGTCTAGAGTGAGTTTCAGTAAAGAAAAACTGACCAATCACAGCCTGATTCATATCTTTGAAGATTACAAAGGAGTGACACACAACTTCAAAGCCACTACATCATACTGTTATTTGGCCACAAAATTTATTTGATATGTATGGAAACTTCAATTTTGCCATTAAATGTTCCAGGGGTGAGAGAGCACAACACCTGGAGTATTGAGGATGATTTTGACAACACATATTTTTGTCAGGAAGATTTGTTGAAGCATGTGTTGTGTCATGGTTTCCATTTCCATTCTTCATATCTATTCCTTTCATTTCAATCTCAGTGAAAGATGAATACGTACTGTAATTCTGTCTGTTTTGTTGTGTGATTAAAAAGGACTTTTGCGATTTATATAATCTGTGTACATGGTCAACCATTTCCAGCATTCCCTGTTGTTTTTTGTTTTTATTTTGTTTTTTATTTTGTTTTTTTTTTTTTTAACGTTACAATTTATTTAACAGGGTTGCAAAAGGCACAAACTTTGTCAGGTCCATCACACAGTCTTGGAGCAGCCCCAGTTTCCTCCAGTTCCTCTGGGTGTCGGAAAAGGACGGCAGAATCACATCCACACAAATCGGCTAAAGTGAAAAAAGCCACAGAGTGGTAGGTTTGATGTATAGAAATGTCATAGACATTTCATATACATTTAGAAAGACAAACATTACAAATTTCCACACCTCATGCATATTTAATCATGCATATTCATATGTTTAAATGATCCTTTTGTAAGTCATTGTAGTAATTGAGCAGTTTAATTACTTGTCTTATAGGTAAATGGTTAGAAAGAATGGAACAAAGCATTGCATGGAAAGTAAGAACTAAATCTTTCGAAATGAATATTCAAACCAAAGTTTTCTTTAAAGCAGTGTTTGGAGGGTTAATATATTTTTTTCTTTTACATGAATTAGTCCTTTGAAAGTGGATATTAAACTGATCATAGATTTTACAACAGAACATTTCATAGAGAGAAAATCAGAGTATTTATGTAAAACACTTCTATAGCACCTTACAGAATTTTGGTAAAACTAGTGACTATTTTTCAGGCTTGGTATTGACATGGAAGATCTGAGTGATAGTGATCCAGATGGAGATGATATGTCTTGTACAATGTCAAGAAAGGTGTCCCAAGATTCCAGATCAAACAACAGTGATACACAATGTAAAGACAATGGTGAACAGGAAACAGATGCTATAAAGCACTCACCTGAAAGTGATTTTAACTGTACAGAAAATGACACAAACAAGAATTCAGAGGATTCAAACACCGGAAAGACTGACACAGTAAAAGACAGTAATTCAAGTAGCAGTAAAAACAGCCTGCTAAAAGCATTAGGGGAAGTTCCACCAAAACACAAAGAAGCATTGCAGCAGGAGAAGGAATCAGAGCAAGTGAGAATGCTAAATCTTTGAATTTTATCAAAATTGATATTTGTGATACACACATATTTTTCTTTTAATTTCAATCAAGAAATATGAAATTTATATGTATGGAAAAGGAGGTGTAAAATCTTATTATTAAAAGATGTTCCATATATTTTCTCAATCATGACTGACAAACTTTATTGGAGGGAAAATGTTTCATTTCTTATTTTTCTGATTAAGTAGGTTTGTTTGCAAAATGCCTGAGTTATCTCCCTTTATGCAGTAAACAGTGGATGAAAAAGTCTGTTCATAACAAGAAAAATGAAGTACATTTGAAAAGAGTGTTTTGAAGATGGTGATTTTTTATGGTTGCTGATCTAGAGATGGTATTTAAACTTTCTGATACTTTCTGTTTAAGTGACCTGCCTTTATTTCTGCTTTGCAGGACGAACCATTGGATCTTGACAGTATTTCATCTGTTCAGGAGCTTGAGGCTTTAAGTCTGGACAAGTTGAAGAAGGAGTTGATGGCCAGAGGAATGAAATGTGGGGGGACACTACAGCAACGTGCCGAGAGACTGTACAGTGTACGAGGGTTGACCCCTGATCAGATCAAGCCTTCTCTGCTGGCTAAACGAAACTGAGTGAACTTTAAGAATAAAAAGGAAAATTATATTAATAAAAGGAAGACCTTAAGGCTTGCAAAGTGACTTTCATTGATCAGCTGGCTATAAATGAATAGTTCACATATGTTTGTATTCTCTGTTACACCAGGGTATGGAGCAACTGACCACAGTGTAAACACATATGCTTTCTGTTGTTTAAGTTGTTCAGTCAACTTGTGCAAAATTACATAAGTTTGATTTCAGGTTATGGAGATAAAAGAGTCAGATCCAAGAATTCGTCTCATTCATTTATCAATCCCTTATCAACAGTGGTTGGGAATGCAGTATGAACATTTTATGACTTTCATTGTAACCGATACTGAATGAAGGTGTCGCTACAATGTCAATTTATTATAATTGATGTTTTCATTATTTTTCCCCGCGATATTGTAAGGCCTATTGGATAAGGACTGGTTGGAAAAATGATGAGAATTTTGTTCAGTGATGTAACTTCAGGAATATTTGTAATTCCTCCATTCCTTCTCAAATGTACATTATTCTGACTGTGATGTATACGTGTATGATTTAAATGAAAATATTTCTAAACATTTTCTTTGTACAAAAGCTCTGAAATTAAATAGACATTGAAAGTACATTGGTTTAGAAATCAATGTTAAATATATAAGCTTGTGGATTCAGTCATATATGCACGGATAAACATCTGGTGTGAGATGAAATGTAAATAAAAATAAAAATTGTTCAGTCTAATTGAATGTCTCGTCTTGTTTTATTCTTTTTTGTTAAGAGGAGCAAAGCCTTTCAGCTGTTATATATTAAACATATGCTTTTGATGCAGTTGAATACATCTGTAACCTTAAACTTGGATCAAGAGTAAAGTTATTGATTGGCCTTTGGTATTTTAATGGAGGAGTGATTTGTTTGCACTCTGTCACCCTCTATGTTACTGTGTCAGGGGTATGTCCATCCATACTGTGTCATCTACTAAACTCTTCATGTAAATACTTCTCAAATAAAATATTTAGAGTGTTACATGTTTATATCGTGACTTGAATTTCCAAATTGATGTTAAATTTTCATGAAAAGAATTTTGATTTCACTATTTTTAGAAGAGTTGCAGCCCCTTGTTATTTTTTAAGTAATATTTTTGTGCAGAGACTTCATCTCCCAGTTTTAGTCAGATCTCTTTCAAACTTGGCAGGCTTTGTATGTATAATTCTCATCGCTTCTTACAATCCAGTTAGTTGGTTGTAGTCTGATGACAGTACAGGCCTGAGGGCTTCTTTTTCCATTGTTTGACCCCCATTTATATTCAGAGTATATATAGGTCATAGATACAATTCAGAATTTTGTGTCCTGATTCATGTGTTTCAGCTTATCTTAATATAGAAGTTACAATACTGGTGTGTCAGGGATTAATTGAAAGAAGTTGCTAAAATATTACAAATTCAAATTGACTGTGAAAGTTGTTCACTCAAAGTCAACAAATTGCTATTAAACGCCAAATATACAATGTATTTTAATGCAAAACATAGCAACTGATTATTCTGGTTTCAATTTCCAGCATATTCAACCCAGGTTATCATGGAGACAGGTCATTTTCATTTAATCAGGACTAGACGACCCTTCTCATCATCAGGTTCTATAGTAATAGTTCTATATGTTCAAAAAAAGGTAGTTTGCCACTTTTAACATATTTGAACCCAGTTAATATCATTCTCATGTCATTCATAACTTTCTTAAGAAGTAATGAAATAGTTTTTTAACTGCATTATATACATAAGAATAAGTAGATAGACAAATTAAAAGCACCACTATACTCCAGCCCACAAAACGGAAAAATGAAAGCCCTTCATCTCACTCTATGAGGAAACCTCATCAAAACCAATAGACGTTCTGTCCTCAATATTCCAAGGGTTACAATCACTTTTGCTCTTTGCACCCCTGAAACATCTCATGGTAAAATTGAAGGTGCCATGTGTGACACCTTGTGGACAAAACAAGGAGACAAGCTTGATATAAATGCTTTTAAACCACAGGAATAGAACTGATGTATACCAGGTATTTGAGAGACTACACATAGATCATGGTGGCTGTTAGGAAGAATGTATACATTTACACATGCAGTATTTTATAAGCTACTGAGGCTGGTATCCAGTACTATATGAAATAAGTATTGCCTTAAAACGAATGTACTGTGATAAATGATGCACATTTGGCTGTTATAGATACACATAATTGGTCATTGCATCAACACTTATAAGTAACAACTAGTTGCAAGTTGCACTGTTAACCATACAGACACAGGACATAATAAGCATGCTCATTATGCTCATAGTGGTGGGCAATGTCTTAATGAGATAATGAACAAGCATGGATACTTCGTAGTGACATTGATTTCTAAAATGAAAAAGTAACACTTTAATGTAAACTTTGTATATGTAAATTAAAGATGATGTGATTTACTTTGTTTGAGATGGATATGGACTATTTTTTATATGAAATCATTAAGCGGTTTATCAAATTAGAGTGAAGGTAACTGTGTTTTCTAGAATATTTAATGCAAAAACAATAATTGTCGAAAAATATCAAACGTCTTTCATTTTTGTGATTGGTGAGCGTCGAAACTATTCTACTTATTCACATTAGGTATCTATTTTTAGAAAAAGAAAGTCAAGCGTCTCTTTGGACAATCGTGATCAATTAAGTGCTTTATGCACGATGTCTTTGATTGCTCGATGTGTTGTTAACAAAAGCAATTTACTCTCAAGACACCTTTCAGCTGGAATTATTACTGGACAAACAAGATCACTTAAGGTAGAATTAAATGAGTAATTTGAAAGTTTATCATGTCAACGTAAAAGCTGACACTGAACAAAGATTGACTGTGTCGACACCAGTTTTGACGGATCTCGGCTAGTCTTGGAAGGTTGTAACATCGTTTGAGTTTAATGCATTTGCCGATGGTTTCGATCTTAAAATGATATCAATTTGTGGTAAAAGTAAGGTGAGCTACTGCACAAGTATTGATTACCACGCATCATTTACTGGAGAGTGTTTTTCGTGTTTCAGATATGGACATATCACGTTTATTTTCTCCTTTCAGATTGGAAATGAAATTCCTTCAGTAAACCTGTATGAGGATACTCCTGATAATGCTGTAAACATCAGAGACGCATTCAAGGGGAAGAAAGGAGTGCTATTTTCTGTGGTCGGCGCCTTCACCCCGGGATGTACAGAGGTATATGTATTTGCAAGACAAATGTATTTAAGAGCGCTATACAATTACATGTACATCTGTATGTAGCTACAAAATGTAGGGTACAACACTGGATAGCATGTACAAAGACAAAAAAATGAAACTGTGGATACAATTGTATATATTTAGAACCTTTTGGACATGGTTACATGAAGAAAATTTTAAAAACCTCAGTAAATGTAAGGTCTAAGATGTATGCTTGCATGGTTCAGCACATCTAAGTCCATGATCCCACCAAGTTTTAGGCAGTTTGTGTTTCTGAGGGGTTAAATCGTACTGTCCTGTCTTTTGGCACTTCCTTTAGCATGACACTTTGATTTATCCCAAGTGCTCTGGATAATCTTACTTGCTGTGGTCCTCCCTCAAGATGTTCAGTGAGTTAGTCATCTAGCTGCTGCAACAAGTATACTTGTCAAAGCTTTTCTTCTGTTGATATTCCCGTATTGTATACATTGTGCCTGTCCTCGTGAACCTTGGCAGCATTTTCAAGAATCATATCAAAGAAATTTCTTAGGAGACAAAATGTAATTTTCAAAAATTCCAGCTTACAAATGGTTTTGATGCCAATGTAGAATATATAATGATGTGTGAGGACTTTGAGTTGGGTTAAGACCAAAGAGATTAGTTTATAGTTATTGTATTTGATCTAGATCTATTTAGATCTACAGTCATGAATGCAAACAGAAGAAGTTTGTGCACAATAAGTATTTCATGTTATACAAGAAAGTAATGTGTATGTGGCAGAATATAAGGATTTATTTTTCTTGAAATGTTTGTAACATTGATCATACAATGTTGTTATTTTCTCCTTAGGTTCATCTCCCAGACTACCTTGACCATTATGAAAAATTTAAAGTATGTATGCTTGTTTCATTTCTCTTTGGTTGAAAATGAATTAAATAAAAGATTAAGAACATGCAAGACTTCAATAAAAAAGCATTTGTAACTTGATCTGATGACTGAACATGGGGCATAACCAGGAAAAAAATCTATGATAATACCCTGTAAAGAATCTCGATATCTTGTTAGTATATCTGAAAGATGTTTCAATAAATATTCCAGTCAGTAAGAAAAGATAGAAAAAGCCAGTCTACATTTTTGTGTCTTACTTTTCAATATTATCTTGTATTTAAGTGAGTAACTGGTTTTCTGTTTTGTGCCAAACCTAGCTTTACTTGTTGTACAGAATGAAGGTTATGACCTGATATGCTGTGTAGCTGTCAATGACCCATTTGTCATGTCCGCTTGGGGAAAACATGTTAAGGCTGAAGGAAAGGTAACAGTTTAAATCTTTGTATTTTTTTGTATGATTATGCCAATGTATAATTCTGGCAAAATCTTATGACATTCATAGTTATAGAGATGCCATGATCCAATTGTTGACTTTATAATTGTAACATTAGATATCATTCTACCTGATACCAACAGGACATTGAAGAGCCTGAAGTAGATCTTCTGCCTTCATTTTAACACTTGGAATCTTATTTTTCAAGAAGAAAATTGTTTCCTGTCAGCTCAGTGTTTTATTCTCTAATCTCTGATGTTCCTCTAAGTGCTGTTGATAGTGGCACCCATGGTCATATGACCTTGGCTATTAAAAGAACATTAAACTCTATAAAAATAAAACAAACCAGTCAACATTCCTGGAAGATTGATGTGCTATTCATGAAACAAATATATTTATACCTGCTAGAATTTAAAAATCAAATTTGATAAATTTATGCTGCTTCATGTTTACACAGGAAAACCTGGTGAAATCTTGGTATTTCTGATTTCAACCAAACTTTTGAAAACCTTTCAGATTCGTATGTTGGCTGACACTCAGGCAGAATTCACAAGGGCTCTAAATATGGAGCTTGACTGTCGAAAGGTTATGGGAAATACAAGATCTAAACGGTAAGAATTGATGAAACTTTTTATGAATGTGTATGAATGTTTCTGCTTTCATTTTTTAAACATTTATTAGTGCCTTGGGTATCTGATGGAGAGATGGGAGATGTAGGAGACCTTAAATTTGAATTTTTCCTAAACTTATGTTATACTATTCTATGGTAGTTAAGATTTCCTTAAGTTGTGGAGTATTCGTAAAACTGGGACCCGATATCAAGGATGGGACATTGTTTGACGGTCACAGTCACTGTTTATAGAGCATCAACTAACTTAGAGAGAGTTCAGTCGTTCATGTTTTAGCATCATTTTCTAATTCTTTTAACAAATAACATTGAAATAACTGTAGTTAAATTCATTGTTTGACTCTACTGTATCTAACTCTAAATTTGCCTTAAAAGGCTCTATTCATTGTGGGTCTTTAATACAGTCTCTGAAATTTTACAATTGAACATCATTTTCATTTCAGATATTCTTTAGTAGTGGAAGATGGCATTATACAAAGCATTAATATGGAACCAGAAAACACCGGACTAGCTTGTCTCCTGTGTATAAAAAACTACACATCAAAACTGAAACGCATGTAGCTTCAGTACATATCATCGCAACTACAAGCAAAAGATTGCAGTAGTGTTTATTCTTATTTCATTGTTACATTGATATGTTTCCAATATTTTTTTGTTTTACATGTTCTGTTACCTACACATATATATATTTAGATTTACATTTACAATATCATTGAAATTCAAAGGATTCTACTTTTATAAAACAAAACTAATTGCCTTAAGATTATGTCATGACGGAATTGAAATCTAATGATGGGTTATTTGATGATTGCTTTCTGGTATAAAATCTGAACAGTTACTAGGCAGGTATTTATGGCATGAAAATGGATAAATAGTTACATCTGAATGAAAGGCAATCAATCAGTTTTCAGTAATTCTTCTCTGGGGTTCCTTTTATTCTGCTTCAAAGAGATCAAGGGTAAGGAAGATTCTAAAATACCTAACTCTTTATCATTTTCAAGTCGTTGATTTTGTCATGATATATTTCAAGTATAGATAGAGTGTTTCGATATATTGAGTGTGAAACTCATGGACTCTGGGCAAATTACATTCAGATTGCAATTATTTAGATTTCAATTATTTAGATAAGGTCAGTTTGTCATTTGTGACCTAAGGTAACTGTTTATGTGTGATATTTCAAATTCCTGATGTAATTTACAGGAGTTGGGACTTGACCGAATGCCATCCTAGGTTAGGCCATAACCAGCCCAAAGCCAGTCAGCATGTCTATCTTAAATGCTGCTGCGAAATGCTTAATACTTCAGAGCAAAACCCAGAATTTTTTTTACTTACACTTTAAGTTTTTTGTCTCCTTGATTTTTCCTGTCCCTTTAGATTTTCTCATCAACAAGTATCAGTGATCTGGTGATGAAAAACTTAACATATACCCTGTTTTGTAGATTACTAGAGGTAGAACTTTCTATATACATGTATAGGTAGGTTAGGAAACACAGTATTTAGGCATTCTAAGGCACTAGCTTGCATAATACATGGTATATGTCAAGACTTTCTCAAAAATATAACTCTCGTGCTTGTTGGTGCAATAAAGGTAGATTATAAGCTGATGTGTAAGGTTTTGATGTACAGTAATTCTGGATGCTATTTATTTTTTTAATGTTTAAATAAGGACTCAGTATCGAACTTCACCTTCTCTTTTATTTATATATTTCGTTATTCCTAAGCTTTTTAGGTATCCAAATTCACATACAGTGGCCCACTGAAGGACACACCCACCTGGTAACTTTGGTACTACCCGGGTATTTTTCCAGCTGATAAAAATAGGAATGTCTGATAGGTCGCCATTATCCTTTGTAAACTCTTACAAAATTAAGATTTTTTTCTCATACCTCATTTTGTAAGGCATTTAGTGTTATTTTTATTTGAAACGGAGAAAAAAGATGATTTTTGTAATTTCTTTTTCAAAATAACAAAAGTTGTAAATAAAATTGATAATTGTGAATACATATTGTAGTTGAATAGATTGAAAGAGTTTTTGATCTGATATTGAAATTGACCTGAAATTTTAGTTTGTCAGGTGATGTAAACCATATCATATTGCTTTTATTTTATTCTGGGACTTTATTGTCCTGTTTTCCTGATATCTTACAAATTTCTTTGTAAAACGGGCTATGCATATTGCTGAAACTGTTTTGTGATACCCAGTCTGATTGAAACTTAAATTATTACAGTATTAGGAGTATCCTAGTAAATCAAGCTCTGGTTTAAGTTATTGTTGTTATATCATAATACATTTTGGAAAATGTTAGTCATGGAAGTTAAGAATAAAATGTTGGCAGTAGCTGTATATAAATAGGTTTTACTGCAATAACAAGGTTTTACTGCACAGTGTTGGCATTATAACAAGGTTTTACTGTATAACAGTGTAATAAAGTTTTACTGTCTGGCAGTGGCAGTATACCAAACAGACATAAATGTCTTCTTGACACTATCCCTTAGACCTGCACTTTATCCAATCCCTGTTCTCTCCTTTAAAAAATGTGATGTCACTGGAGGCAATGCTGTTTTAGATTCACAGTTCTATATGTAATGGCGACAGTGTAATATGGTTTAGTGTAGATAGTGAAAGTGTATGATAATTATCTAATAGTTGTAGTGTGTTTAACAAGCTGTATGAGTGTGGCAGTATAAGGAAGTGTCATTTTTTGCTGTTTGGTACTTTATCATAGATGTTGTGAATACTATTATAATATTGATCAGGATATCAATTGTTCAGAGGCATTAAGTGCAAATGTGTAGGTAGATATATATATTATGAATGTGGTAAGTATGTGTAGGTAGATATATATATTATGAATGTGGTAAGTATGTGTAGGTAGATATATATATTATGAATGTGGTAAGTATGTGTAGGTAGATATATATATTATGAATGTGGTAAGTATGTGTAGGTAGATATATATATTATGAATGTGGTGAGAATGTGTAGGTAGATATATATATTATGAATGTGGTAGATATATATATTATGAATGTGTAGGTAGATATATATATTATGAATGTGGTAAGTATGTGTAGGTAGATATATATATTATATATATTATGAATGTGGTAAGTATGTGTAGGTAGATATATATATTATGAATGTGGTAAGTATGTGTAGGTAGATATATATATTATGAATGTGGCAAGAATGTGTAGGTGTTTGCTTTTGTTGTTCCAAAATTTTGATTGATAATCGGGTATGTTAATTAACTGCTGATTGTAGGATGTCATTTTGCTTGGTGTACAGTTTCCTTTATTTGATCTTTATTTACAAAGTATATGAATCAGGTGTTTAATCAGGTCCTTGAAATAAAGCTGATGCCCCTCCATAAGAAATATGGGGACTTAAGTAAGACTACCACTACATGTAGTATATTTAATGTCCCATTTATCTCAAGTATATGGTTATTGAATTATTTGAAGATGTTCATTGTTCAGATATACATGGATAAGGCCCGAAATATCTATGACGGTGAGCACCATGCTGATGATGTAGGGCGATGAGCATACTACTGACGACAACCCAAGACGAATCCAGTGTCTTTGGCCGACGGTACCATGGGCACGTTCAACAGGCCTGGGGAAACTGGTTAGGGACAGAAGAGACGTCACAGACTCAGTAGCATGTTTCTCACTTATTCACTTATTCCTGTTTAATGAAATTTTATATGTACAAAGTCCCAGATGTTAGATTTGATTTCATTGTTATATGAAGGATATTCACTTTTTATATTCTATGAATAGATATAAAGTCAGCCTTATATGATAAAACCGAATACTCAACAGGATTGATCTCCGTTTACATGGAGTAAGAAGGAAGTGGGCTTATTACCAAACATGACTTACAAGATGGTGAACTTATCAACCAACTTGTGTGCATTATTTGTGTTTACTTGTCATAGACAGTGAAAAGCTAGAAGGCATTTATTGCCAGACTTTGGTTTATCTCATATCAAATGTATTATGTTAACAAAGGATTGTCTTATTACTGGAAATTAATTTATCTTTGGTCATGTATGTTGTAATACAGGATGGGCTTATTATCTAAACATGGAATGATATCCTGTCAAATACATTAACAAGAGATAGACTTATTACCAAAATAAGTTTGTCTCTTGTTACACACAGGAAAGGTAGTCTTATTACTGAATACAAGTTTGTCTCCTGTCACACACAGGAAAGGTATGGTCTTATTACTGAATACAAGTTTGTCTCCTGTCACACACAGGAAAGGTATGGGCTTATTACTGAATATAAATTTGTCTCCTGTCACACACAGGAAAGGTATGGTCTTATTACTGAATATGTATTTGTCTTCTGTCACACACAGGAAAGGTATAGTCTTATTACTGAATATGAGTTTGTCTCCTGTCACACACAGGAACGGTATAGGCTTATTACTGAATATAAGTTTGTCTGCTGTGACACACAGCAAAGGTATGGTCTTATTACTGAATACAAGTTTGTCTCCTGTCACACACAGGAAAGGTATAGTCTTATTACTGAATATGAGTTTGTCTCCTGTCACACACAGGAAAGGTATGGTCTTATTACTGAATATGAGTTTGTCTTCTGTCACACACAGGAAAAGCATGGTCTTATAACTGAACATGAGTTTGTCTCCTGTCACACACAGGAAAGGTATAGTCTTATTACTGAATACGAGTTTGTCTCCTGTCACACACAGGAAAGGTATGGTCTTATTACTGAATATGAGTTTGTCTCCTGTCACACACAGGCATGGTATGGGCTTATTACTGAATATGAGTTTGTCTCCTTTCACACACAGGCATGGTATAGGCTTATTACTGAATATGAGTTTGTCTCCTGTCACACACAGGAAAGGTATGGGCTTATTACTGAATACAAGTTTGTCTCCTGTCACACACAGGAAAGGTATAGTCTTATTACTGAATATAAATTTGTCTCCTGTCACACACAGGAAAGGTATGGTCTTATTACTGAATATGTATTTGTCTTCTGTCACACACAGGAAAGGTATGGGCTTATTACTGAATATGAGTTTGTCTCCTGTCGCACACAGGAAAGGTATGGGCTTATTACTGAATATGAGTTTGTCTCCTGTCACACACAGGAAAGGTATAGTCTTATTACTGAATACAAGTTTGTCTCCTGTCAGACACAGGAAAGGTATGGGCTTATTACTGAATATGAGTTTGTCTCCTGTCACACACAGGAAAGGTATGGTCTTATTACTGAACATGAGTTTGTCTCCTGTCACACACAGTAACGTAGTGAAGATGGTCCTCAGTAAATAGGCATGAATAACCCGTTATAACAATTTGCTCAATACCATGCAGCTCTTCAATTTCACAAGTTATCCAGTTGTTTTATACATACTTAGAGTAAAACTGGTTTCCGATTGTACTTGTAGCCAGAGCTCAAATATTACTGATGTTTACTTTTGTTCCTCAGGGACTTGATTATAAAGTTGCACCCATTTTTATACAGAATAAACAAGTCCATCATCATCATCATGTGTTGTTTGTACTTTTTTTTCATTCTGTTAAACAAATGGTGTATCAATTTAACTGTATGTAAAACAAGTGTTTATAAATCCTGCAGTTTTGAAACGGGACCATGTTCTTGTATACTTAGTTTACGATGTTTTTGTGTGTCCAAATTAGGACAATAGAGAGAGATCAAGAATATCTCGTCTAAACTTAGCTGTCTCATAAGTGACTCCGATAAGTGAATCAGCTGTAAGACAGACACATGTAACATATAGGACAGCCACAGGCAACATTTAGGACAGTCACATATAACATATAGGACAGACACATGTAACATATAGGACAGCCACCGGCAACATTTAGGACAGTCACATATAACATATAGGACAGTCACAGGTAACATATAGGACAGTCACAGGTAACATATAGGACAGTCACAGATAACAAGCCTGGTTCTTGTATAAAAATAACAACGGAGGACATCATATATAGCCATGTTTTGATATATCAGTATGTAAGTCTCCAATACAATATGTGTGGGAGAGGACAGTAAGAGACTCGCCCACTTAACACACATTGTATGTACAGTCGGAGACTTAAATACATTTCCATAACCGAAAATTGACACATAAAGAAGTGAACTACATAAAGCTAGTGACCAAAACTTCCAAACTTTATGATGTAGACGCCAGAGGAAAGTACATGTATATGGAAAGGAGACATGATTTAAGTATTTTGTTTCAAATGAGTGGAACACGACTTGAGTTCAATCCGAATATCTACTTACCTCCCTTGCGAGCCGACCTAATTGAATCCTTTATCCCTTTGGAGGTGAGATATAGGTGGACTACAACCCAAGGAGAAAGATTATTACGTAAGCTTAACATCTTTTACCTAGGACACCAACTTACCACAGGTTTCAATCAAATTTCTTCGTGTCTTGAAGTCTTTGCAATATATATCATATAAGTGTCATGGTAATGAATGATTGACAATATTTACATACACGTGGAAGTGATATACTGATCTGTTGTCCTGTCAGACCTTAGTGTTAACACTTGAAAGATTCAAATCTTAAAGGCAGTCATGTGTGACATAACACAGGCACTCGAGGCCAGGATATTATTTTTTAAACATTGATTTTTGTTTTAGCACTC